AAAAAACACCCTGCCACCGAAGCTAACAACACCCGTACCCGTTGCAAAATACACGACCATATATGTGCAACAAACACTGCGTCGCTGAAACACACACCTTCGCAAAAAACACACCGTCGCAAAAAACACACCGTCGCAAAAAACACACCGTCACACCAAACACTTCGTGTTTCCCACTCCTTGGTGGCTTGTCCAACCAAAACAATAACACCGTGGCAAAAAAAAACAATTGTTGCAAAAAACACGTCGTCGCAAAAAACACTCCTTGAACTTTTGAGCGCGCAACGAACTCCACGATCACTTTTGAAAAACATTTCGGCCTACCGTCGCAAAAAACACCGGTTTCCGTCGCAATTTACACGCAGCCCTTAAGTATATATCTATTTTAGATGTTTATCTATTCCTCGTCTTTCTTTGTTTCTAAGAGCGATGGCCTCCAACCAAACAAAGAAAAGGATTTGTCCCTTTCCTTCTTCCTCATTCCTCTTCGTCGATTTGCTGGGGGGCCGTGGAGTGTTTGCCGGACGTTTGAACTTCCAAACTTCGATCTTCGCTCGACGTCTTTTTTCGAGCACGCCCGTCCTTTGCCTAGTAGTAAGGCCAGGAGCCCCTACTAGCGTCCTTGCTCCAAGTAGCGATGCCCGCTGTAAGAGCTCCCCTAGCTCCGCTTTGGGGAACAAAACCCATGAAAAGTACAGCGCCAACGCACCTGTGACCTGCCAACCACGCATCGCAAAGGGTAACACGGGAGGCAAGGTGAGGACAGCAACGGCCGAAACTGATCACAGGGAGACAAAAAGGTTATCAACTAGTAATTGTTGAGCTGTCTCGCACTCGGGCTGAGAAGCGTAGGCCTGCAGGTCTATGTCGTGACGTGGCCTCTTCCATGAGGCTGCACCATGGTGCTCTTGAAAGGGCTATGGTTGTTTCCAGCAAGTCCGTCAAAATGACCTCATGAGGAAAGGATGTGAACAATGACAGTACCCTGGAAGATCAGTGGGTGTCCCAACTTGCGCGCCTTCCAACTCACCCTCCATGACTCCACATCACAAGCAGAGTGAAGTTAGCTCCAGCATGCCATGACTTTGTGGCCATGATCAGCTCACATCATAGAAGTTTGAACTGACTTGCAATTTTCTTGCCAAGTATTAGGATCGGAGCGCGAAAGTTAACTAACATCCATAAATCACTCTTATTATGTTGTGCAGACGGGTTGTGCTCGACCAAACGGCCAGTGAAAGTTCGCCAACTCCCAACCCACGTGTGAGCAGCAGTATAGACAAGAAGCTATAAGGAACAAGTGCATCGCTACTAGTAACAAGTGCCTTACTAGTAGTAACAAGGACGCTTCTAGGAACAAGTGCATCGCTACTAGTAACAAGTGCCTTACTAGTAGTAACAAGGACGCTTCTAGGAACAAGTGCATCGCTACTAGTAACAAGTGCCTTACTAGTAGTAACAAGGACGCTTCTAGTAACAAGTGCATCGCTACTAGTAACAAGTGCCTGACTAGTAGTAACAAGGACGCTTCTAGGAACAAGTGCATCGCTTCTAGTAACAGGTGCCTTACTAGTAGTAACAAGAACGCTACTAGGAACAAGTGGAGGCCATCGCTAGTAGGTTGGAGTGCCCACAACCCAAAGCTCACCCAGCCGTAGACATCAGGCATCTTCAACCAGCACCCAGGCCCCAAAGCGCACTGAGGCACCTTGCCCTAAACTTGACGCTCCCAGTTCTTGGCAAAAAGGAAACCATCTGCGAATAGTCTCAAAATGCCCAGATACTTGCTTGCCCATAGGCCCGCGAGCCCGCACTGTCGAGCCACGGGCCCGCGAAGCCGAGAGCTCACGGGTCCGTACACGCGTGCCGTGCAGAAAGTGCAGAATGACCGTTTTCCTTGAAAGAGCGATGGCCCAGCCACGACAACGGAGACTCGTGTGTGAGCTCGGGTCGACTCAAGTTTGGGCATCGCTTCACCTAAAGAAAGGATCTGATGGAGCTAGCTAGCAGCCTTAGCCCAGTGCATAAGAGTGGGTGGCACATTTTGTGGAGGGCCTGGCAGCCTGGCCCGAGTGGTTCTGGTGCCATTGAGCATCATGTCCTTAAGACCGATAGATAGGGAGACACGCTTGGAAGACAACTAGGGAGACACAACACAGCAGCAACAGCGGAAAGGGATTCCTCAAATCCATCGCCCACTAACTGAGAAGGAATAAGTCCTATACCTGCCACTACCTGGGGCAAGAGAAGGAAGAGAGAGAGAGAGAGAGATAGAACGTGAGACCGAGAGCGGGAGCGGGCTCTTTTAGCATTTTTTTGGCAATTCGGTGCTCAAAAGGAAGAAAGTGAAGACAAAAAACAAAAAAAAATTAAGAGATGCATCTTGTTTTCCTCCCAATTCTTTTCAGGAAGTTCTTGTGGAGATCGGCGCGCCTTGACCCGGGCATCGGCTGCAGGGCGAGTGATGGGTCTCCTGGTGGATTTCGATCAGGTTTTCGGCTTGGACGAAGTGGAGAGTTTTTGGACTCTGCTGTTTGAGAGGAAGAAGGAGAAAAAGAGGAACGAAGCAAAAAGGGAAGAGAGTTTGAGCAAGCAGACCGGCTGGAGTTCCTCCGAAGTCGTCAAGACGGCAAAGCGCCCCCTGAAGGGTTATGAAGACCTTTCCACGATGAATGGGGGGAGTGAGGAGAGGTCTGAATTGGATTTTTATTCTCAGTGGTCTTTGCATGAGACTCTTCAACGCAGACCGTGGGCCATGAGCGCCACCTCACACATCACGGCCGAAATCCTTCGCTGGCAGGCAGGCATTCGGATACCTTACGTTCCGTGTCTCTCTTTGTACATCCCGGTGCGCTACCAGCCGGCGAAACCGCAGATCTTATTCTTCCGATCGTCCTTGCCACAACAAGCTCCTTTTCAGCGGGTCTTGCGCCTTCTGGAGGCAGAGAGAGGCGAAGGAACGCCAGAGGAACGTGGCGATCGGAGTTCAAGGATCGTGTTCATGGGTTTTCAAAGTTCCATGAGTTTTCATGAGATTGCTTCCTTCGAAGCCGTGGCCATGCTGCCCCACATTCCCAATGCCTTGCGTCTCTCGGACATGTACTCGATGGCCATTCCGCTCTTCGTCCCGGACGAGCCGCTGATCCACAAATTCCTGTGGCCCGATGATCCGATGCCGTTGCTCTCGAAGATTCGGGCAGCGGAGATGACGGAGGAAGAGACAGCAAGTCCGCTGTCCACAGCAAGTCCCTTGGACTTCCAAGTGGCTGGACGTCATTTTTACAAACACATGCGAGACAGGCACCATTGGCTTCAATACACCGAGTGGTGGCTCAGACCCCACTTGCTTCGTTTCAGCAACTTGGACCAAACTCACCAACACGTTGCCTCTCAGCAGGTTAGCGATTGATTTCCAGTTATCAGACTGCAAATATGACAGATGTTGAACTCCAACCTACTAGCAATGGCCTCCAACCGACTAGGAGGGACACATTGTAATGATGGATGTGTTTTTGGGTAGTTCACTTAGTTCACTTTGCCTGAGGATTGAAACAGCACACGGTCATCAGGATTAGCATCAGGCATTGTAAAGAGTTCCCATTGCAAAGCAGTGCCAAAGTAGCTTCTTGTTACTAGTAGTGAGAATGCTGCTAGCAGGGATGCCCTTCGTTCCTAGTAGCTTCTTGCTCGTAGTAGTATGGCCAGGAGCCCGTAGTAGCATCGCTGCATCGTTTATTGTGAGTGGTGTGCTCATCAGAGCTGTTTGGGGATGACTGGTGGTTCTTGTTACTGTTGGCACTGGAGCGAACAATGCAGGACATTCGTGTTGCGCCAAGCCGGCGACCGGGCGGATGTTTCTGGAAAGCCCTAGTAACAAGAAGCTACTAGGGGCGCTAGTAGGGGCTCCTGGGATTACTACTAGTAGTATTCTTGCCTCTAGTAACAAGAAGCTACTTTCACTCAAGGCAGTGCCAGGGATCTGCTGAAGAAGGCTTATCAGCTGTCCAGAGACGAAGCAGATGGCATAAGCCGTTCCATGATGAAGCACCAAGAAAAGCTGAAGGTCGATGCGTTGGATGCTCTTGGCACACAAACCGCAGGTTTTTTGAACAGCCTATTTGCATATATATATATATATATGGATGTGTGTGCGTATGTATGTGTGTATATATATATTATGTGTCTCCTATTTGCTGCATAAGATTGACACAGCTACTCTCAGTACTTTATATTTGTTTGTGCGAAGTGCGTCTGGACCAGAAATGGTTTGTTGCACCTCGGTTCTGGAAGGTGGTGACAACACGATCGCTTCTGAGGACTTCTGGCGTTGTGCTTTGGCAGCTGCCCTGGCCTAGATGCGTTGAGAAAATGGTTTGGTGTGCTTTTTGCTTGGTACAAGCGCTTGTAGGCTGGAGGCCATTGCTAGTGGGTTACATTGCATTGCTGGTAGGAGCATCGGCTGTACAACATTCCTTGTGTTTTGGGAGTGCTCCCATTGGCCCATCCGCAGCCATGTGGTACCATCATTCCATAGCAATGTAGATGTTACCTTCACCCTGTTGACTCCACTCTGAAAAACTGTGTCCATATAGGTGACAGATTCTCTTTTGCTTTTGCTCGTTCCCAAGTGAAGTCATAAATGCTCCAACACCTGTTGCAGTCATAAGCACCTGTTTCAGACAACGATGGTGAAGCGAAGAGCAGAAGAAGAGGAGTGAAACGCCATGTCCAGACGAGGAAGTGAAGAAATGGAGCAAGGAAGCTACTAGGGGCTCCTGACCGTACCAATAGGAGCAAGGAAGCTATTAGGAACAAGAAGCTAGTAGTAACGAGTGCCACGCTAGTAGTAACAGGTGCCTGATTAGTAGTAACAAGAAGCTATTAGGAGAGGACGCTACTTCGGCACCGGCTGGTCCATTCCGCCGAGGAGGCATTCGAAAGAAGCCAAAAGAAAACGAGACGAAGTGATGAAGCGGAGCAAGGTGAAAACGAAGATGAGCCGAAGGTGAAAAAGGTGAAAGAAAAAGGAACAAAAGGTGCAAAAGGAAAAAAAGCGGAACACGTTGATGCGGAAGAAGGCCAAATGGAAGAAGAAATCTCTAGTCACTGGGGCTCTCCTTTGAACATTTTGGGTCATGTCGACTTAATGGCCTTCTATATAAGACCTTTCTTCAATTTCTTCTTTGTCTCTAATAGCGATGGCCTCCTACCTAAGAGCAATGGCCTCTTCGAGTACTTTTCGTCTTCCCTTCACTTTAAGGATGCCCCTTTTGTTCCTAGTAGCTTCGTAGTACGGCCAGGAGCCCCTAGTAGCGTCCTAGCTCCTAGGTCGAGTGCGAAGATTGGGAGCAGCACATTTGTGCGAGGGTTCCCTGATGATTGGTGCTGTGCGTGACGTCACCGAGGAGGTGAGCCGAGCGCGAGGTCGAAGGTTCGGTTTTGGTTCCAGTAGCTTCTTGTTACTAGTAACAAGTGCCATACTAGTAGTAACAAGAAGCTATTTGAGTTAAATTCAATTAAATTAGAATGCACTTGCTACTAGTAGCTTCTAGCTACTAGTAGTAATGCCAGGAGCTACTAGTAGCGTCCTGGCTCCTAGTAGCGAGGGGGTTCGGTGCCGGTCGCCCATTGTTTTCCACGTTTTTTTCATCGCAGTCCGACCTTGCAGGAGCTAACACTCAATCTCCCATACAACTTGCTTGCGCGCCTTGGGTCAAATGCGAGAATGAAACCGTTAAAATGCACGAATGAAACCCAAGACACAGTTGAGCATTCTTGATTCCAAGCATTCTTGTCACGGAATTAGTGTATTTTTTGTGTTCCAACATGCGCTTTTTCGTTTTCAGGTATGTTCAGCGCAGCGAGGTTGAAAGCTGTGGGGGAAAGATGGGCTGCTTTGAATCGGGTGATCTGGTGTCGGCTGTGATCTTGGGCGCCTTAGGTGCAAAGAAGACCCGACTGGAAGCTTCATTGCGGCCCAGCCTGGTGAATGCGGGGTTGGCAACAAGCACAACAAAGCACGGTTTGAAGAAGCACATGTGGATCTCAGCGGTAGTTCTTGAAGAAGAGGAGCATGTGTTCAAATTGGATTTGGGACTCGCACCGCATTTCACCGGCGTCCTCTCAAAGGCGACGGAGACAAAAGTTGGGAAGATCTTGATGGTGATGGTGCAAACGGTGAACTCGAATGGTTTGGTGACATGTAGTGGTAGCAACGGTAGCAACAGCTCAAGTTCGCCCTTGAAGAGCGAGGTGACAGACCTGAGCCTTTTGAAGCCGGGGCTTTTGGTTTCGGCGCGGGTCCGTTCGGTGGCTGAAGAGGGTCTGGTGGTGAACTTCTGTGGACTCACGGGAGTCATTCACAAGCATCACCTGGGAGTGGAGAAAGACGAGTCGAAAGAGTCGAAAGACGAGGACGGAGACGCGAAGGATTCCCCTTTCGTGAAGAATCAGCAGCTTCTGGGGCGAGTTCTGGCGGTTCTTCCTGCGGCCCCGCCCATCCCACCGATCGTGCAGCTCACATTGCTTCCGCATTTGGTGGAATGGTTGCCTGCAGATCTTGAGAAACAGGCGGTAGGAGACCGTTTAGAGGGAGAAATCTTAGATTTTCAGCGCAAGTATGGATGCCGCGTCCGTTGCAAGACGGAGGGCATGATCGGCTTCTGCCCCATGTCAAAGCTGGCAGATCAAGATCAAGACGTCGCCGCCGCTTCCGTGGTCGATGGACAAGTGGCACAATACCGAGTTTTGTCGTACAACTTTTTGGAAAACACCTTGGTTTTGACTCGAAGACCTGCAGACCTTTTGGAAAACACCTTGGTTTCCGTCACGGAGCTGGTGCCTGGTCAGCTGGTCACTGGCACTGTTTCCAAGGTTGCAGACCACGGCCTCTAGGCTTCGAAGGGCATACCGGCGTACCAATCTGTTGACTTTGTATTCTGGTGGTTTTTGCACTGAGTGTTCTGTTTTCGTTTCTCAAGGAAGCTTGTCCCAGCTACTCCTTGCTGCTAGTAGGCTTCATTGAGCTGCCCCATTAACCTCCAACCTACTAAGAATGGCCTCCAACCTAGCTTGTTGAGCTGTTGTTGAGCTTCTTTCTAACGCTTCTTTCTAAGGAATTCATGTGAAGCTGAGCAGCTATGTCACGGGGCATGTTCACCTTCGACAGCTGACAGACGTGCCACTGGCCTCGGTTCCAAAACGGCTCAGCGTCGGTTCCAAGGTGAAGTGTCGTGTACTGCACGTTCACCAGGCGAAGATGGAACGAACGTTTTGGATTTTTAGTTGTTTTACTTTTTTAAGGAGCAATTGTTTTTCGTTTTAACTTTCTTTTTAATCACTCCCTTTTCTTCTACTTTGCTTTCGTGCTTTTAGACCAAACCTCTTGGACTTCTTTTTTCCTTGTGTATTCCTTTTTTGGTAGCATGAATGGTTTGTAGGCGAGAAGGCAGCTGACCTTGACAGCCAAGAAGTCCTTGGTGCAGAGCGACTTCCAATTGACCAGCAATTCCTCGGCCATGCTCAACATGGTTCTGATAGGATACGTGAGCTCAATTCATGACTATGGTGCTATGGTCAGCTTCTATGGTGGTGCCAGAGGTTCTTGGTCAACGAAAAAAACCGAACAGATTCAATTACTTTTAGACGCGTCCAGTTTGTGGTGAGTTGGGATGTTCGACTTAGGCGAAGTACACCCTCTGAAGATGCTGCTTTAGTCTTCGCACAGCACGACGCATACCCCGAAGCAAACGTCCTGTGATGTGATCTAGCCTTGCCCGCACAGACGGACACACACACATGCATTCTTTTTAAAATAAATCAATAGCTTTTTGTTACTACTCGGAAGGCACTTGTTCCTAGTAGCATGGCACTTGTTACTACTAGCTTCTTGTTACTACTAGTAAGGCACTTGTTACTATGCTAGGGTAGAGCTGCAGGTTTTTGAACAGGTTTCACACGCACTCGCTTTTGGAAGCTCCTGGGGTGGAGACCATCACTAGCAGGTTGGAGGCCATCGCTTTCATGTCTCACCGCCCGGTCCGTATCACCGTGCGCAGCGATCGCTTCGCGAGTAGAATAGCGATGGCCAGGAGCCCCTAGTAGTGGCCCGGGTTCCTAGTAGCGATGCCCTTTGCTCCTAGTAGCTTCTTGTTACTAGCAGCAATGCCAGGAGCTACTAGTGTCCTAAGCGCGTGCTTTCAAAGGTTTGATCCCCAAGAAGGACATGGAGGCAGAAGAAGCTCCTGCTCTTGGAATGGCCGTCAAGTGCCGTGTGGTAAATGCTTCTTGGCCGAAAGACTTGTCAGTCAGATGGCCTCGGCAGGGAAGCACGAGAAGACCAGAACCGTGCCTGTCTTGACGAGATTCCGTGGCAGACTATATTATGAGGCACCTTGCTACTAGTAGTAATGCCCTTGTTACTAGTAGCTTCTTGCTACTAGTAGCAATGCCAGGAGCTACTAGTAGCTTCTTGTTACTGCTATTTGAATACACCTTTCATTCTTTTATTTGTCCATTTGTTTCTACTAAAGATGGCCTCCAACCTACTACCGATGACCTCCAATCTAAGAGAAGCGATGGCCCCCCCAAAACGGAGTCTCTTATTCCTTTGGTCTTGGTAGGGTGTCCTCGGTTTTTCCGTCTTGAATCTGATGTGGACGTTGATAATCCGGTAGGTTGACCGCAAGACTTCGACTTGTCGCATCCTTCTGTCCTTGAACTTGGAGAATGGTCTCTCAGCTGCTGACATGGAGGCGCAATGAATCAAAATCAGTAAGAGATCCGAGATTCTTTTCTGCGCTTCTTTGAAAATGATGGCCTCCAACCGAATAGCGATGGCCTCCAACCTACTAGCGATGGCTTCCAACCTCCTTAAGAGATACGAGACTCTTTTCTGTGCTTCTTTGAGCATGTTCGAAAAATGTTGAGTAGAACCAGTACGGAGAAAGGAACGTTGAAATGTTCTTTCTCATCCAGTTAGGGCACCCATGAATGCAAAACGTATCCACTTGCGATCGGCAGACTGCTGGCAGGTGAAGGATGTTTCTGTAGCTCGAACTGGCTCTGTGGTGAAGGTCAAGGCAATCCACGCTGGTCCTGATGGCATTGTAGCGCCTCAGCTCAAGAGGAAGAACTGGAAGATTGGTCCTTTAGAGAGAGAGAGAGACCTCCAAACCTAACAGCGGCGGCCTCCAACCTCCAACCTAATAGCATAGAGAGAGGGAGAGAAGAGCATTTAGTATTTCACAGTTAAAGGGAGCCGTAGAACGGGCTGTAGGGCGCACGTAGGCGGTTTGAACTGCTTGCCGATGAAGGTGAAATTCGGGGAGATGGATGTGCGAGAAGGGACGGGAGGAGGCTCGGGAGGACTTGGTTACATTCCAATTCCACATTTGTCCGATGACTTGGACGTTGCCAAGAGCAAATACCGCAAGATTTCAGCAGAGGTGCCGTGCGGAGAATTGAGCCAGGCGGCACTTAGTTCATCAACTTTCAAGCTCCATGAACGAGGTGTTGTTTTAGCACGAGGCCATATCCCAGGCTACACTAAGGATGCAGTTGAGAAGCAAGCTGCCTTTGTCCTGATATCTTTAAAACAATCACTGGTTCTGGCATCTCAAGCTGGTTCGTTCGTGAACCAGGTGGCTGATCTCCAGGAAGGGCGCTTCTACTCGGGCTACGTCAAGGAAGTTCGAGACTTTGGGGCCTTGATTTGTGTCGGCAGCTGGAGGCTTGCAGGAGTGGCACACAAGTTTGAGCTCGCCAATCGCTTTGTCGAAGATGCCGGCTCTGTCGTGTCTGCCGGCCAATCCGTCAGGGCCCTTGTGAAGAATGTGGATACACAGAAACATCGCTTCGAAGCAGATCTGCGACCCACAGCTGTCACTGACAAAACACTCTTGGAGAGAGAGGCAGAGGCGCTTCGCCTGTCTTTGACAGAGAGAAACTTGGAGGAAATCTTTCCGAAAGGAAAAAGCGGAAAGACTCTTCTGCCGGGGTCTATGGTCCATGCAGAAGTGACAAAGATCGAAGCCTATGGTTTAGTTCTGTCCGTCAAGGGCATCACTGCAGTCGCTTTGAAAGAAAACATGCCCATGAAAGAACTGAAGGGCATGACCGTCGGAAAGTCATTGAGATGTACGATTTTAGATTTTAATGCCGAAACGGGCATTCTTGACGTCTCTTTACAGCCTGAGCTTCTCGAGAAGCATGGCAAGCCACAGAAGGGAATGGAACTCTCTGTCCTTCCTGCCTTATCGAAGAAGTCATATGTGATTTGTTGGAGTCCCAAGCCTGCCGCGGTCCTCTTTGCGCCACCCTATACACCAAGCACCTGGAAGGTTCCATTGAAGACGCTTCTGCACAGTGCTGAATCCCCCATGGTGATTTTCTGTCCTTGCCAACCCAAGGAGACTTGAGCTAATTCTGAATTCACTTGTTCCTACTAGCTTCTTGTTACTACTAGTAAGGCACTTGCTCCTAGTAGCGTGGCACTTGTTACTACTAGCTTCTTGTTCTAATTTCAAAATCCGATCTAAACGAAAAAAGGGATTACTTGGTCCATCGGTTTGTAGAGGGTGTTGATTGTGTACCAGGACAAGAAGGACAGGTGGGGAGCGATCCCACGCATCAGTCGTCCAGAAGAAGAACTTCAAATTGGAAGTCCTGTGAAGATGCGGGTGCGCAGTATCCGAGGTATCTTTGCTTAACGAGAGGAACAAGGACGCTACTAGGGGCTCCTGGCCTTACTTGTACTACTAGGAGCAATGTTCGCTACTAGGAACAAAATAGCCAACACATTATGAAGCAAGTAGTAGCAAGGAAGCTATTAGGTGGGAGGCCATCGCTGGTAGGTTGCAGGCCATCACTACTGGTAACAATTGCACTCTTTTCTTAAAACCTTTCTTTGGAACGCCTTACCCAGTGCGCAGTATCCGAGGTTTGCAAGTCTTGTGCGCGGCCCCTGTGAATTTGCAGGGCCATGTGCATGCCACTCAGCTCGTGGATGTGGGCGAGCCGGGCTCGGAATGCCACCCAGCCATGCCTTTGCAGAACTTTGGTCGCCCGACGAAGGATGCTGGCATCATTGAGGCGCGCATTCTCCGAATGAAGCAGAGGTCGCAGAAGAAGGTGAAGATTTGGCACTTAGAGTTGACCTGCCGTCCCTCCCTACAACTGAAAGACAATATTGATTCCTATGAAAAGGCCTTGATCCGATGGTCCACGTTGAAGCCGGGCATGGTCGTCGCGGCGGCGGTTCTGTCGGTACAGAAGAAGCTCCTGTGGATGGAAGTCGCTCCGGGCATCCGCGGCCGCGTCGGAGTCCTGGACTGCTCCGCGGACCTCGCCGTCTTGCAGTCTCTCTCCGAGCACTTTCAGGTGGGTCAGGTCCTTTCAGCTCGAGTGCTCCACGTCAAGAGTTCCCAGGTGTGGAGATAGATATAGTTTTTAATTCTTCCGTTTCTTTTGCTTCTATTTTGGGGTCTGGGTTCCCCTAGCTTCTTGTTTTTTCTTCTCCGAGCCAGGTTCGCAAAAGGAACTCGACCTCTCCTTACTGCCAAGTGAGAGTGAAGAAAGCGGACGGATTTGCGTTGGGCGGCTGAATAAACTGAACGAGACGAATGCGTCCGCGGCTTCGGCCACCGTGCAGTTGCCGGGCAGACGTTGGGGTTCGGTGCACATGACGGAACTCTTCGACGTTTGGGCCAAGCAGCCGACGAATCGCTTGAAAGTGGGATCCCTTGTTCCCGTGAAACTCCTGTCGACTCCAGACGACTCCGAGCCGAACGAGTCGAAAAAGAGTCTACAAAGTAAGCGGTGTGAGGTGAGTTTACGATGGAGCCAAGTGCAAGGCACCAAAGAAGCTGAAGAGGAGCAACGGTTCTTTTCGGTCAAGGAGTTGAAGGAGTCAGGCGCCAAGAAAGTCTCAGGCTATGTTTCTTCCTCCGGGCCGTTTGGCGTTTTTGTGGCTTTGAGCCGAACTCTGACCGGGCGGATCAAACTGAAAGCTTTGAGCGAAACACATGTCATGAAAGAGGCCGTGGCAAAGTTGTATCCACCAGGCTTGCTCCTTCGTGATATCACAGTGGTTGAATTGAATGAAGAAACAGACCAAGTAGAGTTGTCTTTAAGAGATTCAACAGGAAACACGCTTACTGCTGAGCAGCTTTCAGTTGGAGACATCGTCTCAGGGAAGGTGAAAGCGGTTGAGTCCTTTGGTCTCTTTGTTCGTTTGGAGAATTCTACCATTGATGCCTTCGTGCACAAGTCTGAAATTTCAGACTCAGCTTCAACGGCAGTGACTTCATACAAAGTCGGCACCAAAGTTGCTGGCAAAATCGTGAAGATTGATGGCCACAAAGTCGGGCTTACGATCAAACCATCTGAAATGGAGGGTGTGGAGGATGCATCTGACTCGGATTTGCAAGAGTTCCTTACAAAGTCGGGCACCAAAAGGAAGGTTGAGAAAGTCGAAAAACAGAAACAGCTCAAGAAGGCAAAGAAAACAAGGAATGCGAAGCAAAGCGCAGCTTGATTTGCATGTGGAAGACCTAGACCTAGACCGACCTAAAGATCTGTTTTCGGTGCGCGCCGTGCTGCCTTAGGAACCAGAGGAGCCAGAAGAGCCAGAGGAGCCAGAGGAACCAGAAGAACCTTGGAAGCCTTTGCCGAAAGCATCTTCTGCCGCTTTTGAGTTCGCGGACTTCAAGGCCGCCTCCAACCGACTAGCGATGGCCTCCAACCAACTAGCCTTCTTGCTTCTAGTAGCGATGCCCTTTGTTCCTAGTAGCGAACATTGTTACTACTAGTAAGGCACTTGTTTCCACTAGCTTCTTGTTCCTACTAGCGACGGCCTCCAAAGGCATGTTTCTGGACATTGCTGGTCATTGCTGAATGCCTCATGCTGCCCTGAAACCCTGAAACGCGACAGTTTGGGCACTTGATTGATTGCATGCTCAGCATGCTGTTCGACGGCTGCTGCCCCTTTACCCTTCTTGCCCTTTGTAAAACAATTGTCATTGTTTTCGGTATGGCTTTATTCATCATCCTTATTCTAATGATATCTATTTTACTTATTTTGGCAAAGATGGATGATGCTGTTGAAATTGTACATTTTTCAGAGGGTCCACACCTATAATACTTTGTCACCACTGCATGGTACCGTTCATCTCCAGGTCTTATCTCGATCATGCTTACTGTTTGGTCTTACTTTGTCTCTCATCATTCCATTATTTGCATCACTGGTTTGGGTCGTTTCTCACTGCAAGCGTGCTACATCATGTCCCGTCCCAGGTCATATGGCGCACCACCTCCACATCACATGCTGCAAAATCTTCGCGCCCTAGTAGCTTCTTGCTCCTAGTAGTACGGCCAGGAGCCTCTAGTAGCTTCTTGTCACTAGTAGTTTTTCAGTGTTTTTGCTCAGACGCACGTCCCCCAACTCATACACACCCCTTTCGGTGGGGCAGATTTCAAGTCGCAAAAGCTGGCCAAAGGGGTTTCCACATAATACACAATGAGACCGGTAGAACTGCCGGATTAGCTCTCGCTTGACACTCTCCAAAGTTTGCTAGGAACAAGAAGCTAGTAGTAACAAGTGCCACGCTACTAGGAACAAGTGCCTTACTAGTAGTAACAAGAAGCTAGTAGTAACAGTTTTGTGCTTCTCTTGTCCATGTCACAGGTCGATGCTGCCAGCTCTTCAGATGCGTCGGAGCATGAAGAGGACGGGAAAGACCTGAAGCTCTCGAAAAGGTCTGAAGCTCAGGTCATGTGCAGTCGGTGAACGGCACTTTGTGAGCTCGGGCGCATGTGAGTTCCGTTTTGGGTGTCTCGATTTCCCTAGTGGCCGCTTTCTCCGTGAATTGTGCGTTTCGTGCTTCCAATAGTAGCAAAGGGCATCGCTACTAGGAGCAAGGACGCTACTAGTAGCTCCTGGCCTTACCGCTAGGAGCAAGAAGCTACTAGTAGGTCTTTGAAGCTTTCTAGTAGCTAGAAGCTACGAGGTTGGAGGCCATCGCTAGTAGTAAGAAGAAGCTACTAGGAGCAAGGACGCTATTAGACAGTTTGCCATGCAGCAGCTTCAAAAAGGAACCAAGACCTAAGGGCAATGGCCTCCAACCTACTAGCGATGCCCTTTGCTCCTAGTAACTTTTTTGTTCCTAGTAGTAATGCCAGGAGCTGCTAGTAGCTTCTTGCTACTTGTAGCGATGCCCTTGTCATCCTACTTCAAAAAGGAGTTGCAGATGCGTTTGGTTTCTTTCAGCTCCTTCAAGGGCGTGCTCCCTCACATATGGGATAATTTTGGAGAGAATGCCCAAGGCAGAAGAAAGCCCAACGGAAAGAGGAGCAAATCGATTTACAGAAGCGAGAGGCCAAGCGGTAGCGTTCTTGCTCCTAGCGGTGAAGACCTTGTATTTTTGTGGCGATGTCCTTTCGCTTACTTGCTGGGTTAGCGATGCGCAACAACTACAACCAGCCTTGTAGGTTTTCCCAAAGGATGCTATCTAATAGCTTCTTGTTACTACTAGTAAGGCACTTGTTACTAGTAGC